TAGCGGCATCGACCCGGTCACGCGGGGAGGGAGGGTTAAGGGGCCTGGGATGAGCTGGGGGGGACTCGGAGAAGCGGGAAGGGGAACCGGGGGGTCACGGGGAGGCCCCGGGATGAGATCGGTCCGATCTGGGGAGGGAGGGTTAAGGGGCCTGGGATGAGCTGGGGGGGACTCGGAGAAGCGGGAAGGGGAACCGGGGGGTCACGGGGAGGCCCCGGGATGGCGGGGGGGGTCCCGGGAAGGTCCCGGTGGTGGCGGGGTGGGGTTCCGGGGATGATCCTCAAGGCTCGGGGCGGTCCCGGTGGCGGGTGGGGGTTCTGGGGTGACTCCCGGTGGTGAGGGAGGGGTCCTGGGGGGGATCCGCGCCCGGGGGGTCCCGCCGGTGCCTCACCGCCGTTGAGCGCCATGGTAGCCCCGGAGACGGCGGCGCGCCGGAAGTGACGTCATCAGAACAACTCAAGTCCGGGCAGAAACAGCGACGCGAATTTGTGAAATAAGTTCCGGGCGGCAAAATAAGTCCCACGGTCCGTGACTGAAATGGGGTCGGGTCCCCCTTACGGGTAAATTTGCATAACTCCGCCTTTCTCTCGGCATAGACTCCTCCCTTCTTTTCCGGCAAGCTGATTGGCCGCTCGCGCACGCGATTTGCATTCGCTCCGCCCCCTCTGTGTCGGAGCTAATTTGCATATTTCGCGCGGGATTTTAAAAAAGCCGCTGGCGCTGCGCTCTGATTGGACAGAATCGGCCCCGCCCACCGCAGACTCCGCCCCCCGCTCCAGGCACGGCCCAGACACGGAAACTCGGTGACAGAAATCGGTGACAAAGTTTATTTTGCTGGAAAAGGGGCGGGTGAGGCCGGGGGTGTCCCCGCCCGGGCAGGGGGCGCTCTGGGGCAGCTCCGTACAAAAAGGGGGCCCAGGCCTGAGGGGCGGCAGGGAAGGGGGGGGCTCGGTGAGACCCTCCCCGCACAATCCGGTTCCGCTGAGGGGTCGGAGCCGCTCCCGGGAGGGGGAAGGTTCCCCCACCTTTCCTAGATCCTCCTCCGGCTGATTCCCGATGGGGCCCCCCTCACCCCCAGGGGCAGGGGGCCCTTCAGGGAACCCTGAAGCAGAGACCCCCTCAGGAGAGACCCCCCAGGCTCACAATGAGCCGGGAGACCTCCAGGGACCGGCAAGTCCCGAGTGGAGTCTCAGCCCCGGTTGTGCTCCGTGAGCCCCCCGCCCATGGAGGGGGACCCGCGTCTCCCCCAGACCTCATCCCGCTCCCATCCGGGTCTCAGCCCCCTCGTAGGCGCCTTCCCGAGGCTGCGGGAAACCGTGCAATGCTTCCCCACAGACAGCAGGGCCCCGGCTCTCTCCCCGCTCCTCCCCAGCCCCTCCCGGTCCCTCCGTGCCCGTCCCGGGCCCCCAAGTCTCACCGCGCCCGCCCCTCGCCCGGTACTCGATGACGGCAACAAAATGGCGATGCCCGCCTCACGCGGGACCACGCCCACCGAGTGCGCTGATTGGTCGAGAGCTACGGAACGGTGCGACGCGATTGGTTGAGGCTCTACGAAGCTCCGCCCAGCAGCAGCCCGGATAGCCTCTGGCACAAGGCGCTCCTGCCCTCGAGACGGCCAATGGGGAGCGGCGGTGCGCCGGAAGTGAGGGGGAGGCGGGGCTTTCAGGACACGTGACGGTAGTGTTGACCAATCAGAGCGCGGGGGAGGGGCGTGGCCTGGCGGCGCCGCGGAGCCGGGAGGATCCGAGCCGGGGAACCGGGACCGAGCCGGGAGAACCGGGACCGAGCCGGGGAACCGGGACCGACAGGAACCGGGACCGACAGGAAGAGGGACCGAGCCGGGGAACCGGGACCGAGCAGTGGGAACCGGGAACGCGGACCGAACCGGGGACCGGGACCGAGCCGGGGGACCGGGACCGACAGGAACAGGGACCGAGCCGGGACACGGACAGACCGCCTCTACCAGCACCGACATCGACCGGTACAGGAACAGGGACAGCGACCGACTGCCTCCACCGGCACCGCGACCGACTGGGACAGACCGGGCCCAAGCGCTGCCATCGGGATCGATCGGCACCGGCACCGGCACCGGGGCTGGCCGCCCCTAGCGGCATCGACCCGGTCACAAACAGCGACCGCCCGGGGTGTCGCGGCCACCGGGACCGGCCGGCTCTGACCCCGCCCCTCCGGATTAGCCACGCCCATTTCACCGTAGCCCCGCCCCCGCCATGTCCCACGCGGTGCTGCTGCTGCGGCGGCTCCGGCACCGGCACCGGGAACAGAGCCGGGACAGCGACGAGGAACAGGACTGGGATCGGGATCGGGAGTGTGACAGGGACCGGGATCAGCACCGGGACCGGGACGAACCCCACGAACGGCACCGCGATCATCCCCGGGCTCAGGCCCGACACCCCGCACCGACCCCGCCGTCCCGGCTCTCCCTCCCCGTTCCCCTCGCCCCATCCCCATCCCCGAGCCCCCGCCGCGGCCGCCGCCGCCGCCGCCCGTACCCGGCGCAGCGCGTTTACCGGGTGCGCTGCTCCTTCCTGGAGCTGAGCGACGAGCAGGCGCTGCGGCGCTGCCGCCTGGACCGGGCCGCCATCGCGGCGCTGTGCCGGGAGCTCGGCGCCGACCTGCAGAGCCTCACCGGGCGCAGCCACGCGCTGCCCGTGGCCGTCAAGGTCACGTCGGCCTTGGCCTTCCTGGCCTCGGGATCCTTCCAGACGGCGTCGCGCCTCAGCACGGGCATCAGCCAGTCGGCCATGTCCAACTGCCTGGCGCAGTTCCTGGCGGCCTTACAGCGGCGGGCGGCGCGCTACATCGCCTTCCCTCCTCCGCCCGCGCCCCCCGGGGACCCCCCGGCGCTGCCCGGCGTGCTGGGCTTGGTGGGCGCCATGCACGTGGCGCTGAGGGCGCCGGCCGACGACGAGCCCATGTTCCGGAACGCCGCCAACTTCCACTCCATCAACATGCAGGTGGTGTGCGACCGCCGCGGCCACATCACCAACGTGGTGGCCAAGTTCCCCGGCTCGTGCGCCAACGCCACCGTGCTGGAGAACTCGGCCCTGGCGCGCCTCATGGAGGGCAGCAGGCCCGAGGGGGTCTGGCTGCTGGGTGAGGGGGGTTTGGGGGGTTTTTGGGGGTTTTCGGGGTGGGGGAATCCCAGAGATGTTGGTTCGTGGAAGGAAGGGGCCGCTGCTCCGGGTGTCACTCAGCCGTGTCAGGTGTCACTCAGCCGTGTCCCTGGTTCTGTGGGTGTCACTCAGGTGTGTCAGATGTCACTCAGGTGTGTCAGGTGTCACTCACTCATGTCCCCGCTGCTCCGGGTGTCACTCAGCCGTGTCAGGTGTCACTCAGCCGTGTCCCTGGTTCTGTGGGTGTCACTCAGGTGTGTCAGATGTCACTCAGGTGTGTCAGGTGTCACTCACTCATGTCCCCGCTGCTCCGGGTGTCACTCAGCCGTGTCAGGTGTCACTCAGCCGTGTCCCTGGTTCTGTGGGTGTCACTCAGGTGTGTCAGATGTCACTCAGGTGTGTCAGGTGTCACTCACTCATGTCCCCGCTGCTCCGGGTGTCACTCAGCCGTGTCAGGTGTCACTCAGCCGTGTCCCTGGTTCTGTGGGTGTCACTCAGGTGTGTCAGATGTCACTCAGGTGTGTCAGGTGTCACTCACTCATGTCCCCGCTGCTCCGGGTGTCACTCAGCCGTGTCAGGTGTCACTCAGCCGTGTCCCTGGTTCTGTGGGTGTCACTCAGGTGTGTCAGATGTCACTCAGGTGTGTCAGGTGTCACTCACTCATGTCCCCGCTGCTCCGGGTGTCACTCAGCCGTGTCAGGTGTCACTCAGCCGTGTCCCTGGTTCTGTGGGTGTCACTCAGGTGTGTCAGATGTCACTCAGGTGTGTCAGGTGTCACTCACTCATGTCCCCGCTGCTCCGGGTGTCACTCAGCCGTGTCAGGTGTCACTCAGCCGTGTCCCTGGTTCTGTGGGTGTCACTCAGGTGTGTCAGATGTCACTCAGGTGTGTCAGGTGTCACTCACTCATGTCCCCGCTGCTCCGGGTGTCACTCAGCCGTGTCAGGTGTCACTCAGCCGTGTCCCTGGTTCTGTGGGTGTCACTCAGGTGTGTCAGATGTCACTCAGGTGTGTCAGGTGTCACTCACTCATGTCCCCGCTGCTCCGGGTGTCACTCAGCCGTGTCAGGTGTCACTCAGCCGTGTCCCTGGTTCTGTGGGTGTCACTCAGGTGTGTCAGATGTCACTCAGGTGTGTCAGGTGTCACTCACTCATGTCCCCGCTGCTCCGGGTGTCACTCACCCGCTGAAGCCGTGGCTGCTGACGCCCAGGTGTCACTCAGCCCTGTCCCCCCCTGTCCCCCCGCAGGTGACGGCTCGTACCCGCTGAAGCCGTGGCTGCTGACGCCGATCCGGGGCCCGCGCGGCGCGGCCGAGCTGCGCTACAACGCGCTGCACTGGCGCTCGCTGGCCCCGCTGCGCCGCACGCTGGGGCTGCTGCGCCGCCGCTTCCGCTGCCTGGCGGGCGGGGGGCTCCAGTACAGCCCCCCCAAGGTCTGCCAGATCTTCCTGGCCTGCTGCATCCTGCACAACATCGCCCTGCGCCGCCGCGTCCCCCTGGAGCCCCCCGAGGGGCTCCCGCCCGCCCCCGGCCACCCCGAGCCCCCCCCGCAGCCCTGAGCCCTGATTTGGGGGTCCTGAGCCCTGATCTGGGGGTCCTGAGCCCTGATCTGGGGGTTCTGAGCCCTGATTTGGGGGGCCTGACCCCTGATTTGGGGGTTCTGAGCCCTGATTTGGGGGGCCTGACCCCTGATTTGGGGGTTCTGAGCCCTGATTTGGGGGGGCTGAGCCCTGATTTGGGGGTTCTGAGCCCTGATCTGGGGGACTCTAGGTCATTGAGGGGGTCCTGATCCCTGATTTGGGGGGCTCTGAGCCCTGATTTGGGGGGCTCTGAGCACTTTGGGGGGTCCTGACCCTTGATATTGGGGGGTTCTGAGCCCTCTGTGGGGTTCTGACCCTTGATTTGGGGGGATCTGAGCACTTTGGGGGGGTCCTGAACCCTGATTTGGGGGGGATCTCGGTCCTTGAGGGGGTCCTGACCCCTGACTGGGGGGGCCCCGAGTCCTTGGGGGATCATGACCCCCTGATTGGGGGTGCTCCTAACCCCTGGTTTGGGGGGTGCTGAACTCTAATTTGGGGGGCTCTGGGTCCTTGAGGAGGTGCTGACCCCTGATTTTGGGGGCTCTGAGTGCTCCGTGGGGCCCTGACCTCTGATTTGGGGGGTCCTGACCCTTGATTTGGGGGGTCCTGACCCTTGGTTTGGGGGGCTCTGGGTCCTTGTGGGGGCTGATGTCTGGTTTTGGGGGGCTCTGAGCCTCTGGAGGGGCTCTAACCCCTGGTAGGCGGGTCCATCATTTTGGGGGTGTCCTGTTTCCACCCCCGTGATCCCCAGATTTCCTCCCTCAGCCGTGTCCGTGCTCATTTCGGGGCAAATAAACGATTTTTTTTCAACTATTGCCCCACAGCGTTTTGGGGGGAGTCGGGGGTGAAGTTCTGGTCATTTTTAGGACCCCTTCAAGGGGATTTTGGGGGTCCCTGCTGTGTCCCCATGGGCGGGATGAGCCCCCGACCCTGCAGTCCCCCATCCCCCCACAGAAAACCCCAAATTTCCCCCCCGGGGACCCCCCAAACTCCCCCTTCATCCCATAGGACTCTGCCTTTCCCATTGTCGCGTTCCCAGAACCCCCCTAAGCCACCAAAACCCTTCCGCACCCCCAAAACCCCCCCCAAACCCATCAAAACACCCCAAATTCCCCGTCGGGCCCTTCCGGACCTCGCACCGTTACCATGACGACAGAACGCCGGAAGTGGCGCAACCTCCAAACCCTTCCCCCTTGTGCGGCTGTTTCCGGTCCGGCGCCAGAACGGGTCCGTTCCGCCGCAGTGACGCCAGAGCAGTTCCGGGGCCAGAGTCCGCGGCCATGGCGTCACCGGAGGCCGGCGGGAGCAGCTGCCGGGTCGGGACCCCCGGGACGGGCCGGGGGGTCGGGACCGGGGGGGCGGAGGGGCTCGGGGAGTGGGGGGGTGACGGAGGGGCTCGAGGGCTGGGGGAACGGAGGACGGGCGGTTTTGGGGGTGAAACGCTCTGGTTTGGGGAGATCTGGGGGTGCACGTTCCCTCCCACGGCGCTTTTGGGGTGCAGGACCCCTCGCGAGGGGGGGGGCTGGGGGTTCAGAGCCGCGTGAGAGGCATTTTGGGGGTGCAGGACCCCTTCACCGGGGGAATTTGGGGGTTCACAGCCTCACCCGTGGCAGTTTTGGAGGTACAGGACCCATCCCGGGGGGGGGGTTTGGGGGTTCGGGACCCCATGAGAAGCACTTTTAGGGGTGCAGCATCCCATGAAGGGGTGCAGGACCCCCTGGCAGGGCGGCTTTGGGGGTTCAGAGCCTCAGGAGCAGCTTTTGGGGGTGCACAATCCCACCCTCAGCGCTCTCCCTGGCAGCCCCGCGTGTCCGCAGCTCCTTTCCCTCCACTTTTGGGGCTCCACCTCCCTTTCCCCCCCCCCCATTTTTGACGTCCTGACACTTCCCCTCTCATTTTCCCCCCTTGCCCCCCAATTTCGGGCCGCGACCCCCCCTTTTCCCCCCCCCCAGCTGGAGTTTGACGTGCAGATGAGCTGCCAGGGCTGCGCCGACGCCGTGCGGGCAGCGCTGGAGGCGGCCCCGGGTGAGACCCCCGACCATTCCCCAGACCCCGGGGAAGCCCCCCAAAGTTTTGGGGGACCCCCCCGAGCCCCTGTGTGCCCCCCCAGAGGTGAAGCTGCTGGAGCTGCGGCCCCAGGAGCAGTCGGTGCTGGTGGAGACCACGGCGGCGGCCGAGCGCGTGCGCGAGCTGCTGGAGAGTTCGGGGTGCAGGGCCGTGCTCAAGGGCATGGGGGGCTCCTCCGAAGGTCCGTGGGGTTTTTTGAGGGGGTCCTGGAATGGTTTAGGGGTGTCCTGAGGGGGTTTTGGGGATGTCCCAGTGGGGTTTGGGTGCTGCTGTGGCCCGGCACAGTCAGGGATTTGGGGGTGGGGGGTTGTGCTCGAGGGATTGGGGGGCTCCCCTGAGGGCCTGGGAGGGTCTGGATGCCCCTGGCGGAGTTTTGCTCTCCCCGGCTGGGGTTTAGTGTCACTTTTGGGGACCATTTTCATCTCCCTGACGTTATTTTCATGCCGGGTGGGTTTTGGGGGTGCCCTACCCTGACGTTTCCCCCCCCAGCTCCCCCCGGGGGGGCGGCGGTGGCGGCGCTGGGGGGTCCCGGGGGGGTCCGGGGGCTGCTCCGCTTCCTGCAGCTCTCCCCCGGCCGCTGCCTCGTGGACGGCGCCGTGTCCGGGCTCCCCCCCGGCCCCCACGGGCTCCACATCCACGAATTTGGGGACCTCTCGGACCCCTGTAACAGGTGAGAGGGGCGGGGGCGGGGTCTAAAAGGGAAATTTGGGGGGGTCTTTGGGAGGATTCTGGGCAATTTTGGGGGGTCTTGGAGGGGTTTGTGAGGCAGTGAGGCAATTTTGGGGGGGGTCTCTGGAGGATTTGGGAAGGTCTTGGAGGGGTTTGGGGAGACAATGAGGGGTCCGGAGGGGCCTCTGTGGGATTTTTGGAGGTTTCTGTGGTGCAATGAGGGGATTTGGGGGGGGTCTCTGGAGCCTTTGGGTGGTCTCTGTGGGGTTGGGGGGTGCTCTGTGAGTTTTGGGGGGCTCCTGACGCCCCCTGCCCCCCCAGCACGCCGGGGACCTGGGGAACATCTGGGCGGACGCCGAGGGCCGGGCGCAGTTCCGAATCGAGGACTCGAGGCTGAAGGTGGGAATTGGGGTCTGGGGGGGTCCTGGGGGGTCCAGGCTCTGCCCCATCACCAGGGAGGGTCTGTCCCTATATCTGGGGGGGGGTCTCTATGGGGTTGTGACCCCCCAAATCCCCCTCCCCAGGTCTGGGACATCATCGGCCGCTCCGTGGTGGTGGCCGAGGGCGAGGACGATCTGGGCCGGGGGTCCCACCCGCTGTCCCGTGTCACCGGCAACTCGGGCCCGGGGTGAGCACTGGGGGGGGTGTTTTTTGGGGGGGGGTCTTTGCGGGGTCACCCCCCCTGACCCTCCCGTGTCCCCAGGCTGGCCTGTGGCGTGGTGGCTCGCGCGGCCGGGCTCTTCCAGAACCCCAAACGCGTCTGTTCCTGCGACGGCGTCACCCTCTGGGAGGAGCGCGACCGCAGCCGCGGGGCTCTCCCGGGGACCCCCGCCATGGAGACCCCCAGCCCCCACCTCTAGGAGCCCCCCGGGACCGAATAAAGAGTTGGAGCCCCCTCGCTCGGCAGCTGCTGCGGCTCCTTTAAGGGGGGCGTGGCTAGAGCTAACTGGGGCGTGGCTTAAAGGGGAGATAGGCGGGGCTAACACGGCGGGAAAACGGGGGGCGGGTCTCGCGCGCGCGGTGCGCACGGCACGCAGGCGCGCTGAGGGAGGGCGGTGCGCACGGCACGCAGGCGCGCTGCGCACGGCGCCGCCCCCGCCGCCCTCAGGAACCGCCGCCATTTTGAAGCCGCAGCCGCCGCTGCCGGTTCTGTCCCCGCCGCGCTCCCCCCAGCGATCCCCGCCGCGATGCGTCCTGGCATCAAACTCTTCGTGGGCAACGTCCCCGAGGAGGCGACGGCGGAGGAGTTGAGCGAGCTGTTCGCAGGCGCCGCGGGGCCGGTGCTGGGCGTCGCCCTCATGAAACAGTTCGCTTTCGTGCACCTGCGGGACGAGGCGGCGGCCGCGCGCGCCATCTCGCAGCTCAACGGGCACCAACTGCACGGCCGCCGCATCGTGGTGGAGCCATCCCGGCCGCGCCCCACCAACACCTGCAAGATCTTCGTGGGGAATGTGTCGGCCGCGTGCACGAGCGGGGAGCTGCGCTCGCTCTTCCAGCAGTACGGCCCCGTGGTGGAGTGCGACGTGGTGAAAGGTACCGGACCCGCCGCCGGGGCCGCGCGGCCCCCGCCGCCCAGCTCGGCCCGCGCCGCCGGGTGATCCGTGGCACCCGAGTTCCGTCCGACTGCGGCGTCGCCCCCGCCCGGACCCCGGCGCGGCCCGGGCTGGTGGAGCGGAGGGATTCCTGCCGCCTCCCCCCTGCCCCGAGCGGGGCCGTGCGAGCCCGAGTGAGCTCCCGTAACCCCCCTTCTGCCAGCCACGTCCTCCTCCATCGCCTCCGCCCGCCCCGGCCGGGGCGGTGCGGGCCTGTGTGGGCGGTCCAGCCCCCTTAATCCCCCCTCTGGCAACCACGTGTCTTCGATCGCCTCCCCCGGGCTCAGGTGGGGCTGTGCCAGTCCCTGTGGGTGCCCCTGACCCCGTAACTCCCCCGATAACCCTCCTCCAGCCGGCCTCGTGCTCTGCAATCGCCTCCCCGAACCCCCGGTGGGGCCATATGAGCTCGTGTGGGCTCCCCAACCCCCTCAAATTCCACATTATCTCTTCTCTAGCCAACCTCCTCATCTTCCCTCACCTCCCTCAAGTGGCCCAGGTGGGCTCCCCACACTCCTGAACACCCCCATAACCTCCTTCCTGGCAGCTTTGTTCTGTGCCAACAGCACCCCCAGTCCTGGGGCGGTGACCCCCTGCCCACTGCTGCCACCTCTGCAACCAAATCACCCCCAGGCCACGGCCTGGCCTCCATAGACATGGAGCAGGGACATGCACAGAACACTGCGTGAAACCCCTGAGGGGTTCAATGATTTCACATTGGGGATCCCCAGCACAGCCTGGTGGGGTCACCCACCTCCCCCAGCTCAAGTGTCACCCATGTCACACTGATGGACTGACAAGTGTCACTCCACTTCCCTCTCCTGACCCTGCTGTCATCTCATCCCTTCTCACCTGACCCTGGAGCCGCAATGATGTCCCCGCAGTGCCCATGTGCCACTGCCCACAGGAGGGGGACATTGTTCCTCTGCTCTCTCATCCCAGGTCGCAGCCACCGGCACAGCCTGGCAGAACCTGCCCCGTGTCCCCTCAGGTTTGGGGGTGCCATGGCTACCCCCAGGGGGTGGCAGCAGGGCTGGGGGTGACATGGAGGGGACATCTCTTTGGGCTTCCAGAGTGGGACGTGGATGTGGGACAGGAGCCAGGAGAGTGGGATGGCACCGGGGGGACAAAGGAGAGGGTGACATGGCACTGATGCTCAGAGATGGGATGGGTTTGCTTGGCCAGTGATGCTCCCAGCACACCACACACCCTTGGGTGGATTGTCACTGGTTCTGGTGGTCTTGCTCTGTGACTGCAGGGAAATACCACAGGGTGGATGCCCTCCTGCCCTGTGCCAGCCCCGGACCCGTCATGCCACGGGGGGTGACCCCCCGACCACCATGGGGGCATCCAGCCCCCAAACCTGCTGGGCCAAGTGCCACAGGCAGCCACCAGAGCTGCCGCCAGGTCCTGCTTCCCTGCTCCTCGCTGTGCTCAGACGCCTCTGTGCTGCCAAGCCACAGCTGTGCCCTGTGGCACTGGCTCCTCGCCATGGCCGGGCACTGATGGGGGGTGCTCAGGCCCTTCCTTCCCTCCCTCCTTCCCTCTTCTTCCTCTTCTGTGTCTTAAGTCCCTGTTCCCTTCTCTGTCCTTGTCTTTTTCTGTCTCTTCTCCCCACTTTCTCTGTCCTGCTCTCTGTGCTGGCGCCGGTTCTCTCAGCTTTGCTCCGCTCACTGCCAGGACATCCCACTGAGCCCACGGTGCTGGCACTGCCAGCCCAGCCCGGGCCCTTCGTCCCCATGTGCCAGGGAGGGGCTGGGAGGGGGCACAGGAGGCAGAGCCTGGGGGGCACAGAGGGAGCCAGGCGGGCTGGGGGAGGCTGTGAGCTGGGGGACGCCGGGTGGGCTGTGACCAAATGAGCGTGGGGCAGAGCCGATGGTGCTGGTTGTGTCTTCTCCGGCGAGCGGGGCCGGCAGCGCCGTCCCAGGGCCAGCAGCGCCCGTCCTGCGCCCGTCCCGCTGCCGCCACACGGCTCGTTAGTGCCGGCTCCTGTAACGAGTTGTGTTTTCTCCCCTCACTGCTCTCTCTGCTGCTTTGTCAGACTATGCCTTTGTGCACATGGAGAACGAAGCCGATGCTAAAGTTGCCATCGAAAACCTAAATGGGAAGGAGGTCAAGGGGCGCCGGGTGAACGTGGAGCTCTCCACCAACGTGCAGAAGAAGGGCACGGGCCAGGCGCCGCCGCCCGCCCTCGGCGTCGACAAGACCAAGCGCATCGGCCTCGAGTACCGCGAGAAGTTCCAGCCCAAGATCGAGGGCTTCGACCAGCAGCGCCGGGTGGCTGATGCCACCTTCCCCTCGGCCACAGGCGCTGGCTATGCCGCCACCCCCTCCCTGTACGATTACCAGCAGCGCTTCGGCGCCAAGTACGACGCCTTCGATGCGCAGCCCCGACCCGCCTCCCCCACCTACTTTGGCAGGGACCGCAGCCCGCTGCGGCGCTCGCCCACCCGCGCTGGCTACGCGGCGGTGACACTCCCCATGACAGCGCAGCCGGCCGCCTACCGCGCCCAGCCCTCGGCCTCGCTGGGAGCCACGTACCGAGCCCAGCCCTCGGCCTCCCTGGGCGTGGCGTACCGCCCGCAGCCCACCACGGGCCAGGCCGCCGCATACCGCGCGCAGCCCTCGGCCTCGCTGGGCAGCGCCTACCGCTCCCAGCCCTCGGTCGGCTCCCTGGGCGCTGCGGGCACTCAGCCCGCTGCTGCCAACTCCCTCGGCTCCTACAGCGCCCAGCCCGCCGCTGCTGCCTCGTACGGCGCACAGCCCGCGGCCGCCAACTCCCTCAGCTCCTACGGCGTCCAGTCCGCTGCCCTGGCCTCTTCCTACAGTGCCCAGCCTGCCGCGGGCTACTCAGCCGGCTACAGCGCCCAGCCCGCCATCGCTGCCTACGGCGCCCAGCCCGCTGCCGGCTCTGCTGGCTCCTACAGCACCCAGGCCGTGGCTGTGCACGTGGCATCCTACGGCACCCAGCTGGCCGCAGGCTCCTACGGCGCCCAGACCATGGATGGCCACGCCGGCTCCTACAGTGCCCAGCCCGGCGCAGTGCTGTCTGCTGGCTACAGTGCCCAGGCTGTGGCGGTGCACGCCAGCTCTTACAGTGCCCAGGCCGTGGCAGGTCACGCCGCAGCTGCCTACCAGCCTGTGGCCGGCCACTCTGCCTCCTACGGTGCCCAACCCGCGCTGTCCACCTCATACGGCGCCCAGCCCACTGTGGGCCACTCAGCCTCGTACGGAGCCCAGCCCGCCACAGGCCTGCCCGCGTCCTACGGCAGCCAGCCCGCGGCCGCCGCGCTCCCCGCTGGCTATGGCGCGCAGACGGGCTCCTCGCTGGCTGCATCCTACGGCAGCCAGGCCGCCGTCGCTGCTGCCTCCTACAAGGCGCAGGCCTCTGCCCCGCTGACGGCCGCGTACCGGGCGCAGGCCTCCGGCGCCATGGCGGCCTCCTACCCGGCGCAGCAGCCATCCTCCACCGCGCTGGCGGCTGCGTACCGAGCCCAGCCCGGCAGCGCCTACGACGGGCCGAGCCAGCTGGGGCAGCCGGCGGGCTCCTACCTGGGCCTGGCGCAGGCCGCCGCCGCACCGCCCTACGAGCGCACCCGCCTCTCCCCGCCTCGCAGCGCCGCCTACGACGACCCGTACAAAAAATCGTCCTCTCTGGCTAAAAGGTACGGTGCCGGGCGGGGCACCGACCCCCGCCCCTGCCTCCCGCTGCTCGCCGGCTTGCCGGGCTCCGGCACACCAGTCGCGGCTTGACCGGTGCCATGTGGCACCGGTGCGGCTCGCTATTGCCCGGCGTGGTGGGCGCCATGGCTCCGCTCGTGCCGCGCAGATCCCGGGGAGGGGATGGGACTTAGTGTGGGTGAGGGGAGGCAGTGGCACACAGCGGGGCCTCCATGGCATCCCGTGTCCGATCCCGTTCTGCGCCAGCTTTGCCCACTGTGGTGCGTCCCCAGGTGGGACACGGTGCCGCCAGCGGTGGCGGATCCAGGTGCCGTCCCCCCTGGCTGATCCCCCTCTCTTCTCTCGCCCAGGTACGGCTCCGAGCGCCGTCTGTCCGAGCTGGCCGATTACCGGCGCTTAGCGGACTCGCCGCTGGCGTACCGCCGCTCGCCCACCAAGTCCCCGCTGGACTACCGCCGCCTGCCGGACGCGCACACCGAGTACGCCCGCTACTCGGGCGGCTACAGCGACTACCTGCCCCCTGCCCGCATCCACTCGGGCTACCAGCGCCGCCTCTGAGCTGGCCACGGCCCCGCTCGCCGCCCCGCTGGGGCACGGACGGTTCTTTTTCAGCCGATTCTTTCTGGTTTTGCTGTTTGAGTTTTTTAGAAGGTTCCGCGGTTACGGTTGGCAGTGGCCGCACGGTTCATCCCCCGCTGGTGCTCGGTGCCGGTTCATGACCCGCCAATGGTTGCAGCCACGTGGCTCGGACTCTTTTATACCACGAATTGTCTCATTTTTTGGGTGAATTCCCCGTTTCCAGCGTCAGGCCCGGCACGGTGCCGGCAGTTTTTTATGACTGTAAATAAATGCTGGGGTCTGCTCCGGTTCCCGATGCCTCCCGCCTGGTTCTTTCCCAGTCCTGGGGGTCCACTTCCACCCCTAGGGACACCTCCCAGTGCCACCATCACCACCCATCCCAGGCTAATGCCACTCCCGGTGCTGGACCCGCTTTCCCACCAAAGAGGAGTGGATTTGGAGGATGAGCAGTGTTCAGAGCTGGCAGCAGGAAGTGCCAGACTCAGTCCTGCCACGACACCATCGGACGGGATCACCGGCACTGACCTGTGCTGGGGCTTGTTTTGGGTGAGGAAAGCTGGTTTTGAGGGGTGGTGCGTGCCACGCCAGGTACCACTGTCACCACCATGACCATTCCTGCAGGTCTTTCCTGTCCCCCCTTCTCCCCAGGGACCAGTCACAGCCCAATCTGGCTGTGCCACAGGAGGGACGGCCAAGGCACATTAACCACCGTGCAGAAGAGCCAGGCAGGAGGATCTGACACTTGTCCCCTGCTTTCCAGGGTGGTCACACACACCTGGGCCTGGCCCCAAGTCCCCAGGTGTGGCGATGGCAGCACCCTCGGGTGACCATGGAACCAATCGGCGCTGGCGAGGCAGAACTGGCAGCATCACCAAAGGCATGTCTTGGGCTTAATGACCGTAATGAACACCAAGAGGCAGGAGCAATCTGGGGACAAACGAGCCACTTTGGGGACAAAATGAACCAGTTTGGGGACTAATTAGCCCTGGGCAGGTTAAGTGGCAGCTCCTGCTGCCCATGGGAGGAGGAACTGGGGGTTAAAGCCCCTCTGTCACCCCTGGGTGCCCCTTTGGGGGGCCCCAGGACTGTTTTGGGGGTGTGGACGTTTACAGCAGCCCCTCCCTGGGGGCTCTGGTCTGCGTGGGCAGAGCCAGACAGGGCACAGGCAGCACCGGGGACTCCAGAATGTTCCGTGTCATGTTCTGAGGGGATGTGAGTGCAGAGAAAGAACCGGGGGCGGAGCCAGCGCCGTTTGTTAAAAATTTTGAGTTTTATTTTACCGGAAAGTGGGGTCGGGGGACTCTAAATCACTCGGGGGGTTCCACCCCCGCCGGCGCGGCGCGGCGGCCTCCGGTCAGCTACAGCGTTGGGCTAAAAACCTGGGCTTAATGACTGTAATGAACACCAAGAGGCAGGAGCAATCTGGGGACAAACGAGCCACTTTGGGGACAAACAAGACAGTGCAGACTAATTAGCCCTGGGCAGGTCAAGTGGCAGCTCCTGCTGCCCATGGGAGGAGGAACTGGGGGTTAAAGCCCCTCTGTCTCCCCTGGGTGCCCCTTTGGGGGGCCCCAGGACTGTTTTGGGAGTGTCCACATTTACAGCAGCCCCTCCCTGGGGGCTCTGGTCTGCATGGGCAGAGCCAGGCAGGGCACAGGCAGCACCCGGGATTCCAGAATGTTCCGTGCCGTGTTCTGAAGGGATGTGAGTGCAGAGAAAGAACCGGGGGCGGAGCCAGCGCCGTTTGTTAAAAATTTTGAGTTTTATTTTACCGGAAAGTGGGGTCGGGGGACTCTAAATCACTCGGGGGGTTCCACCCCCGCCGGCGCGGCGCGGCGGCCTCCGGTCAGCTACAGCGTTGGGCTAAAACCTACCACTGGATTATCCACCCTCTTAAAAAATAAAGGAAAAAAAAAAGGCAAAACGACGACTCGGGAAGAGCTCCGGGGGAGCGAGGGGGCGGCGAAGCAAAGCAAAGCTGGCGCTGGGGGACGGCTGCGGCTGCGCGCTCACACCTGAGCCTGGGGTGGGGACCCAAAACTACCTGGAAAAGCAAAATCCTGCCCAGGGGGGCGGGGGAAGCTGGGGGAGGGGCTGAGCTAATCCTGCCCGGGCTGAGGACGAGCCGCGCGTCCGTAAGGAACGGGCCCGGGAGCGGCACGCGGCGGCGGTGGCACCCGGCGCGGCCCGAGACGCGCGGCGCCGAGTTGGCGTGCGACGGGACCCCGACGTCCAGCCGCACAAATCTTACCTGTAAGAGAAAAGAGGAGTTGGCGCAGGTGCCCCCGGGGCCGATCTGGAACCGTGCCGAGCCCCGGTGCCCTGGGGAGCTGCGGCTTCCTGGCAGCAAGAGAGTCCTGACGTGGAGCATCGGTGGGGCTCTGGCCCCCGCGGACCCTGGGCCCGCCAGGACCTGGGCACAGCCTGAGCGAGCAGGAGCTGCCCCCAGGCCGGGGGCTCTGCGGGAACCCCCCACCCCGCAGGGACTGTCAGGACAGTGCCCGGCCCAGCAGGAACGTGAGTTACAGCCACGAGAGTGACGCCAGCACCGCTTCGCTCACCACGGCACCTCCTCGCCACGACTGGGCTTTAACGCCCGTGGGGCCTGTCCGTGTCACTGTGACCCGTCACCCGCCTCAACCTCAACTGGCACAACGGGGACCACCGGCAGCGGGGCCCCCCCGCGGTGCCGAGAGCCACCAACGCGCTCACCTCCGGCTCAAAAGGCGGAGTATCGCGCCCGGTCCGCGTACGGGTCCCGCCCGAAGCGCTGCATGTCGTAGAGGGACGCCCGGGCCACCGAGGAGACGGGCGACAGCTGCCCACGCTCGTACGTGTACGCCTCTCCGACGGTGCTGGCCGCGGCGGCCGTGCGGCGCAGGGGGCTCCTGTCCCGGGTGTAATACGTGGAGGACGCGGCGGCGGCCGCGGCGGTGGCGGCGGCGGCAGCGACGGCGGCCGCCGCGCCCGGGGTGGGCAGCAGCGCTCGGTCGTACGCGTCTAAGGTGGTGGGGATGCGGCCGGCCATGGCCGTGGTGGCGGCCATGGCCGAGGACTGGACTTGGGAGTACTGGGCGTACTGGGAGTACTGGGCCATGGTCTGCTCCGCGTAGGCGTCGTACGCCGAGGCCGTGGCGTAGGAGCGGACGCGGTAGCGCTTGTAGTAGTCGGCCATCCCGCCGTAGGCCTCATCGTAATACACGGTCTCCCCATAGCCCGCGGTGTAGGGAGTGCGCACGGCTCCGTACTGCTCGTTATAGGCCTCGGCAAAGTCCGCCACTTGCCCCGGGCGATCGACCGGGCACTCCTTAGACCAGTGCCCCTCCTTCCCGCAGCGGTAGCAGCCGCTCTTGTCTCCCATCCCGGGCGCCGTCCGCAGCCGGCTGGTGGACAGCTGCACGCGCATCCGCTTGCCTTGGGGAGAGACGCGAGAGGCAGGGTCAGTGCGGCCGTGCCGGGGCACCGGCGGGACAGGACGGGACCGGCTGCCACCCCCCCAGCCCTCCGCAGCCACTGGCGCGGGAGGAGACACCGCAGGACCGAGCGTGAGCCACCAGATGGACGCTGGACAGCAGCTGACTGGGATGTGCTGCCACAGCCGAGCACGGCCACACCGGCCAGCCCGGCAAACCCCCGGCAGCCCGGGGTCGGACCCAGCACTGCCGGCCCCGTGTGACGGCAAAGCTTCGCGCCGGAAAACGCCGGAGCGGCGGCAAGAGGGATGCGACACAAGGAAGCACCCCGGAGCGAACGGGGCCTGGCCCGAGCGCGGCACGAGGCAAAGCCAAGCGCGGACGCGGCTGGGACAGCTCTGGATGCAGCTGCGCCGGCCCGGGTGGGTCGCTGTTTTTTGGGGAAGGCCCGGAATGGGGGCGGCAGGACGTGTGGAGCCCCAGCAGCACCGGGAACGCCCGGTCTGGCCCCGCCGCCACGTGGGTGAAGCGCCGGACGCCGCCCTGAGCACCCGGCCGGGAGACGCGCTCGCCATCACCGCCGCCAGCGCCGCGGCTCGAGTCCGGCCGCTCGGCCCCGTCGAGCGCCCGAGCGACGCCGGGCGCGGGGTCGGGCGCCTCCGTCACCCTCTTACCAGGCTGGGCAAGGCTACAAGGGCGGGCGGCAGCCTGGCGTCACCCGCTGCTCCGGCCCGGCACAGGACGTCGCCGTCGGGGTCCTCCTGCGGGGCGGCCGTGCTGGTTAATCAGAGATGGGTCAGTCCCGTCCTCCCCGGCCCAGAGCCCCCGAGCCCGAGCCCTCGCTCCGGCCGCGCCGCGCGGGCGGCCCCGGGAGCTGCAGCGGAGCGGGCACCAACCGACACCAACCCCAGAGCCCCGAGGGCGCTTCACGGCCCCGTGGGGCCGGCCGTGGTAACATCCGGGATCGACCCCGGAGCCGGGGCCAGCGGGATCGTCCGCCGAGAACCCTGGAGCCCTCCCACCGCCCAGCCCCGTGCCTCACCTTGGAACTCGGTGTTGTCCAGCCCCCGGATGGCCTCCACGGCGTCCTCGGCCCGCTCCATGTGCACGAAGGCGTAGTCCTTGACGATGTCACATTCTATGACGGGGCCGTACTCCTCGAACTTGGCGCGCAGCTCGAGGTTGGTGCAGGCTGGGCTGATGTTGCCGACGTGCAGCTTGGTGGAGGCCTTGCTCTTGTTCTTGCTGGCCTCCACGTTGATGCAGACGCCGTGCAGCTTGTGGTGGTGCAGGTTGCGGATGGCGTCCTCGGCCGCCGTCTTGTCCTCGATGTGCACGAAGCCGTAGTTCTTGATGATGTCGCACTCCAGCACCTTGCCGTACTGCTCGAACAGGGAGCGGATCTCCTGCTCCGTCGCCTCCCGCGGCAGGTTCCCGATGAACAGCTTCACCATCGCGACCCGCCTGCGCCGGACAGCGCCGCCATGAGCCCCAACCAGCCCCGAAACCCCCCGAGGAACAGCCCCAGGAACAGCCCACACAGAGCTCCAAAACACCCCGAGGAACAGCCCCAGGAACAGCCCACACAGAGCTCCAAAACACCCCGAGGAACAGCCCGAAGAACAGCTCACACACAGCCCCAAAGCGCCCCAAGGAACAGCCTGAGCCTCTGTAAGTTTGAATTCCCTGAATCACCCTGAACCTCTCTATTTGTACCCAGAACTGTGCCCCCAAAAAACAGCCTGAGCATCTGTGTATGTGCCCAGGGCTGTGCTCCCCAAAAACCCCCCAAGAAACAGCACAAGCCTCTGTGCGTGTGCCCGAGGCTATGCCCAAAAATCCCCTAAATCACCCTGAACCTCTCTTTGTGGGCCCAGGGCTGTGCCCACCAAAAGTCTCCCAAAAAACAGCCCGAGCCTCTGTGTGTATGCCCAGGGCTGTGCCCACAAACACCCTAAATCCTCCTGAAACGCCTCAATCCTCTGGGGCTGTGCCCCCCAAAACACCAAATAAACACCCTGAATCTCTGTGTGTGTGCCCAGGGTTGTGCCCCCAAATCTCCTGAAACACCCCAAACCTCTGTGTGTCCCTGGGGCTGTGCCCCCAAATACCCCCAATCCTCCTCAAATACCCCAAACCTCTGTGCTCAGGGCTGGTCCCCCAAACACTCTTCAAAAAAAGCCCCCAGATGTCTGTGTGTGTCCCTGGGGCTGGAGTCCCAAAGACCCCAAATAAATCTCCTCAAATAAACACCCCAAAACTCTGCCCCTGCTCTTTTAGGGCATAGCCCCAAACACCCCAAATCTCCTAAAAAACCCTGAACCTCATGCTGGCCCCCCGGGGCTGAGGCCCTCTCACAGGGCACAGCCCCAAACACCCCAAATCTCCCCCAAATTTTGCTTCTGCTCCTTCAGGGTGGAGCCTCAAACACCAGAAATCCCCCCCAAAATAAACACCCCAAAGCTCTGCTGTCCCCCTCCTACACTGTACCCACAAACACCCCAAAAAAATCACCTAAAACCTCCGGCACCCCAAAAACCCACCTTAAACCCTTGATAACCCAAAATCCACCTAATTCTGACACCCCTCTTCCTGCAGGGCAGAGCCCCCAAAACTCTGCACCCCCCATAGAGCAGAGCCACGCCCCGAACCCCAAAACCCCCCAGGCCTGAGACCCCTCCCCAAACCCCTCTTGATCCCCCCAGGCCCCCAGTCCCTCCCAGTCCATCCCAGCCCCCCCCAGCACACTCAGACCCCCAATCTCTGTCTCCAATCACTTTATTGGGGTGGGGGCTGCACGGTGACATCACCAGGACTGGGGGAGGGGGACGGGGGGACACTGAGCCCCCCTCGGGACCCCCCCGCGTCCCTCCGTGCCTGCGGGACCCCCACCCAAACTCTACTTGTTCTTCTTGAAGAAGCTGAAGCGTTTCTCCCTCTCCTTGGGCTCGCGGGCCCGGGGGGCTCCCTCGGCCGGGGGGGGCACCGGGGGGAGGCTCAGAGCCCTCGACATCCCCTTGGGGGGACCCCCGGGGACCCCCGAACCCTCCCGGAGCCCCCCCGGGCCCGGCGCGGCGCCGGCGGCGGCTTCGATCCCCCGGAGCCACAGGGCCATGTCGGCCTGGGGGGGGC